ACAGAGGCTTCACGTGTGTGCCGGAGGAGAGCCACGCTCCGATGATTGTTAGGGAAGCAGATCCCTTCACCTGTCGCCCAAGCCATCTCTGGGTGGACTCACAGATTCAAGCTCTCGTTTAACAGGAAGGGAAACAAAGCCTTTGCACCCTGCAGGGGCTCCACTGCCTTCATGTTCAAACCAGACACCATCATGGCAGTTTCAACTCATGGTGCCCCCATATGTCTGAGTAAAACTGACACATGTCTCGCTCTCTTATTGCTGTGGTGTCAGGATGGACTCAAAGCTGACCCTCTAGAGGGTTTTCAGAGGCTGTAAACTGCATGTTAGGAGACTGCCCGCTCTTCTCCCAGAGAGCTGCTGCTGGTGGATTTGAATTGTCAGAGCAGCCGAGTCTGGGTCAGCAGGGCAACTCTCTGTGGAATACACCAGTCCTAAAATGTCCCTGAGCACAGACACCACATCACTGGTTTCTAATCCTGTCTGTGACAAAAACCCACCATCAACATGGGCAAACTTCAACTTGTATGATAATCTCATACAATCTGCCTTACCTGTAAAGTGGGTATTAAACTATCTGCCTACCCCATCGGGTTGCTTTGGAGCTCACACAGCCTACAAAGCCAGCACTTAGCCCTCAAACGACTACTGTATCTACCCCTCCTTGTGCCAGGTCCCGTACTAGACACTGGAAGTCAGCAGCGAGCAAACCGCACTCTCTCCCCCTTCACTCAGCCTCACAGTGGGGGAAGCAGACACCGATCACACACACACAAGGCAATGTATGATTACAACTCGTGGTATGTGCCAGAGCTCCTGAGTAGGGTTCTCAACGGTGGATTTTTCATTCTGTGGCCAGGCCTTCCTTTTGAGTACTAAGTGGTGGTGCTGCGTTGTATTGAGCTGGAAGTGACTCTGAGCTGAGCCTCCAGCAGGTTTTCAGAGGCAGCAAATCACACAGGAGAAGAATGCCCATCTCTCTCCCACGGAGCAGCTGGTGGATTCGAACTACCTTGCTTTGTGTTGACAGCACAGCTCCCTCTCCACTAACTAGGCCACCAGACTACTAGCTGGTTATAAACCAAAAACCCAAGCAAGCCCTCCAGTCAGTTCTGACTCAGGGAAACTCCTCCATCAGGTTTCTGAGACTATGAAGAAAACTCCAAACTCATAAAACCATCCCAGCGCTGTCAAGTTGACTCTGACTTATGGCAACCGATCGCAGGGTTTCTGAGGCTGTAAACCCTCTCAGGAGGAGATGATCCATCGTTGTCCCACGGGGCAGCTGGTGGGTCCAAACCATGGACCTTTCAATCAGCATACGTAATGTACCATCAGGGCTCAGGCTCAGGTCATAAAGCCCCCAACTATGGGGAGGATTAAATTGGTTAATATAGAGAAAGCACTTAGGGAAATGACGTACAAGCCTGTGCTGTTATTATCCCCTTATCACCTCTCCCCCCACCAGTCTGGAGATAACCTAAGACTTAGACGAATAGTCTAAAGTTCCCCTTATTATTCACTAAAATGTAAGCTCCATAAAAGCACAGATTTTTGCCTTTTTTGATGCCTGGTCTGTCCCCAGTGCCTAGAACCATGCCTGGCACATAATATGTGGTGTTGTTCGTTTGTTTTTCCTTTTAAAGGACCAACGAATAAATTTCCTTTTGGGGGTGTGGGGAGAGTTCCCATTGCTTTTCCTATCTTTTGAAAGGGATATGAAGCTCAAGCATCTGGTGCCTGGTTGGCTTTGAAGAATTGGCGATGGGATCACACTGCTCTGTGGTGCTGAGGGAGGTGCCACAGGAGAGGAAGGCTGGCCTCCTTTTCCTGCACTGTGGTCTCCCTACCCCAGGAGCGCTCTCATGCTGGTACCTCCTGAGTGGCTGCTGGGTATGTGAGTTATGCTAGGACTCAATAGGGCAGCGTGACACACCAGTTCCCTTTATTAATATAACTGTCTGTCATGCCACAGTCAATCTGTTCCCAGCCACAGAGAAGGAGATGGGCGGAGCTGCCCTTCCATCCAGGAGGGAGGCAGGGCTGGGGCACAGCCTGGGAGAGGGCAGCCTGCCTGGCCTTGCCCTCTTTGCTACTCACTGGCCTCCTTCGATGACAAGATGAGGTAACCACACCTTTCAGCACTGATGGTCCTTCCTCAGCCCTAACAGGCCTCCTTAGGGGTGGGGGCATATAGGGTCTGGGAACCTCCAATTTCTTTTACCCCATGCTCTTTCTTTTAACTGCCATGCTCTCTCATCTCCCTGAAATCTCCTCTCTTTGCCTCCCCATCCCATTCAATCTCCCACCACTCCTACCCCAAGGAAGTCTGCCTGCCCCACCTTCTAAATCTCCTCTGAGACTGGAGCCAACCAGACCATCCTCCCATCCCCCCACCTCCAGAAGCCCCAGGACCCAGCCTGACGTGTAACAGGCCTTTGACTATGATGCCTGTGGTGGTCTCAGTCTCCTTCTGCATGATTTTGAGCTCTCTCAAATGCACGTGTGCATATATGCGCTACTAGAAGTCAGACTCTTAAATTCCCAGAGCAGAGTGTGCATCTTTGGCTGGGCACCCTTCAACATTGCCCAGGAGAAGGTACTAAGCATATAGTAGGTGCTCAACAACCACCAGTGAAACAGAGTGTGGCTTTTCAGTCTCACACAAGAGGCAGAGGAAGGAGTCATCTCATCTCTAAAATCAGCACCCAAGTGGGGCAGGCCTTAAGACCTTCAGCAAGAAGGACTGAGGAGGTGATTGTAACAATGGGCTCAAATGTATCAGGATGATGAGGAAGGCACAGGATAGGCCAGGGACCAAGTCCACTGTTCATAGGATCGTTATGAATCAGTCAACTCAAGGACACCTAAGTACTACAACAAGAGTTTCCTGGGAGGATGGCAAATGTGCATGGGAAGGAAGCCATTCATTCACTCCACCACCTCCACATATTTCCTGTCTAGGTCCCCAGCCAGTGACCACTGTGGACAGGGCTCTGGGGAGGTCGTGCCAATTGCACCAGCCAATGTGCCTCAAGCTGTCTGCTCTGAGGCCCTAGTGTCCCCACTGGTATGGCTGGCAGAGGTATCCTCTTCACTAAGGCATTAATTTCCCCTTTCTGGGCAGCACAGCCAGGGCGCCCCCTGGAGCTTGCTCACCTGAGCCGCAGTCACCGCCGGGACACCAGTGAGAGTTTTCACAACAAAATCTAGACCAATACCATCTTCCTGCTCCCATCTGACGTGCTCCCCCACTCTCTCCCAGCACTTACCACAAGTTGTAATTATAGATTTCCTTGTGTGATTATTTGATTAATGTCTGCTTCCCCCACAGTGAAGCTGGGTGAAGGGGGAGAGCATGCGGTTTGCTCACTGCTGACTTCCCAGTGTCTAGCAGGGGACCTGGCACGTAGGAGGAACACAACAGATGGCCGGGGGGCTAAGTGCTGACTTTGCAGGTCGTGCTTTGTGAGCTTCAAAGCAGCCCTATGGGTAGGCAGATATTCTAATACCCATTTTACAGACAAGAAAACTGGGATGCAGACAGATCAATGTTTGCCCAATGGAGCTTTTTCCAGTGTCAGTCTTAGAAACCAGACACTTGAGATCTATGCTCAATAGTATTTAAAAACTGGGGTCGTCCAGAGGGAGTTATATGACCAACCCAAAGGCTCAGAGTTCAAATACACCAGCTGCTAATGCATGAGAAGGACGAGCAGCCATTTACAGCCTCCGAAAATCCACTGAAGGGTCAGTTGTGAGTTGGTTCTAATGGAAGAGATAATGATAATGATTATAGCTAATATGCAATAATAATGGGGCATGTTAGATCAAGAGCTCTGGGAGCACAGTAGTTAGAGTACCCCGTTACTAACCAAAAGTTCTGTGGTTTGGTCCCACTTACCATTTCCTAGGGGGAAAAATACAGCATCTGGCTTCCATATTGACAGCCTTTGAAATGAGGTTGTTCTAGTCTGTCCTATAGGGTCACTATATATGGTCAAGAGTTGGGACTTACACTCATGTTTATTGCTGCAATGTTTACAATAACAAAAAGATGGAAACAAGTCAAGCGTCCATCAACAAACAAATGGATAGAGAAGCTGTGGTATATTCACACAATGGAATATTACACAGCACTGAAAAGCAAGAAACTCATGAAATATACAAAATGAGTGACCATGGAGGACATTATGTAGAGTGAAATATCTCAGTCACAAAAGGACAAATACTGCATAATGCCACTGTTATAAAACAGGACTGATATGGGGTTTGGGGGGAAACTAAGAAAAGAAGGGATAAACAATGTACACTGCATTGAAACAGATGAGGAATAGAACTGCTTAAAAAGAATATATGATTAGGTATTATGTGTATGACAACAGTCCAGAATAAGAGCTGCAAAGTAAAGTAAACTGGAGGGAGGGGGTTGTACAACAATAAAAGAATTTTTTTTTTCAAAGAGAAAAGCAAACTGGGGGTTAGGGGTGGGCAGGGAGGAAAATGTGCAACAATGATAGAATGGAAATCCAAGTTCTGTATAAAATTTCATTAAATGCTCTATTTAAGAAAAAAAAGTTGGGACTTGTGGGGATGTGGCTGCCTCTGCCTGCAGCGAGAGCACTACACTCCCTACCCCACCCCCCCAACACACACACCCTTCCACCAGTAACAATAAAAAGGCCAGCTCTGAGTTTCAGGCAAGGGCATCTAGGGACCCTCATCTGTGCGTCATCAGAGTACCAGTTATATCCCTTACCCAGGCTTAGAAGTTCCCAGCAAATGGGGATGCCAGATAAGGAGACGTAGGGTGTTAGAGGGAGATGCTGTGGGAGATGAGGAGGCAGAAGGTATCTGGTGGTGAAAAGCAGGGACAGCTCTCACTATGTCCCATCCCTATGTGGGGCTGCCCACTCGACACATCCAGGGATGCCTTTCGCATGGATGGGACTGCTTCCAAGGTGGGAAGCAACAGGCAAAGGGATGATTTCTCAACTCACCGATCATAGTCCCCATTGCAGAGGGCTCTCACAGGGATGGAAAAAGTCTGCCAGACCGGGTTCAGGGTGTTCTTCATGACCTCGGTCTTGTGGCAAATGGTGAACCTGGTGAAGAAGAAGGAGAGGAGCTGTCAATTTAGAGAAGCCAAATCCAGGCGGCCAGAGGGCTAGTCTTTCTAGACAAGGCAATGAAAGCTATGCTTTTGTCAAGGAATGAGCTGCCTGTTGCTGACAGCATCCGGCATAAACTATATGGTCATCTTCTGGTGAGGCTGCAGAGACTATTCCTGTACCAGGTGGGGATTGGGACCTGTAGGTCAAGCCCTGTGGTGAGTGTCAGGAGATTTAGGTTCTAACCTCAGCTCTGGGCCAACATGCTGTGTGACCACGAGCAAGCCCTTCCCTCTCTGGACCTCCATGTCTTCACCTGCAAGCTGTAATTTGGCCACTTTCAGAGTGTCTTCATCTGTGACCGTGGAAGGACCTGGCAATGGACTGCAGGTGTGTCTCTGACACCCTAAAATCATAGGTGAATTCAAGGCTATGGGTAATGTATCCTTTACCTCTTTCTCAGAACATTCTCTCGTCAGAGTTCATCTTCATGGCTCACCCACTCATTCCCTATACTTAGACGTCACCTCAGTGACACCTCCTTTGATTTGTTTGTGGTTGTTGTTGTTGGCTCTGACTCACAGCAACCCTGTGTACAACAGAATGTACCCCCACCTGACCCCGTGCCATCTTCACAATCTCTCCTGTATTAACCCCACTGTTGCAGTCACTGTGCCAGTTCAGCTCACTGAGGAGCTAATTTCTCCTTTGCAAATCCTTAACTTCATCAAGCATGATGTCCATTGTTTCCAGGGACTGGCCTTCAATGACAACATAGTCAAAAGCAATGACAACATAGTCAAAAGGTGTGAGACTAAGTCTCACCGTCCTTGCCTCCAAAGAGCATTCTCCCTGTACTTCCTCCAAGACATATTTGTTCATGCTCTTTGCAATCCATATTCTCAATATTCTTCATCAACACAATTCAAAGGCATTGATTCTTCAACCTCTCTTATTCACTGTCCAACTTTCATATACTTAGGGAACAACTGAAAATCAGGCACGCCTTAGTCTTTAGAATGGCATCCTTGCTCTTTTCACTTGAAAGAGAACCTTGCCAGAGATTTGCCCAGTGTGATACATCTTTTGAAATATTGATTGCTTCTTTCATGAGTGTTGATTGGGATGCAAGCAAAATTAAATCCTTGACAATTTCAGTCGTTATTTCTATTTTTCATGATGTTGCCTACTGATAAGTTTTGAGGACATCTATGATCTCCTGGTCTCCTGACTCTAACATCCCTAGACCATTTCCATACCACTCTTTCCATTTCACTTACCACCATTTGGCATTCTGACATAGTCTACTTGTTCCTTCGGGAGCCCTTATGGTGGAGTGAATACTGCATGGGGCTGCTATCAATGGAGGGCTGCTGTGAGTCCTGACCGACAGCACAGGGATTGGGTTTGGTTTGGCATTTTGTTCCTTGTTTATTGTTTATGATTTGTTACTAAGAGGCAAGGAGCTCTGTTGGCCTAGTGGTGAGAAGCTGCGCTGCAACCCCAAAAGCACACAGTTCAAATTCACCAGCTGCTCCACAGGAGAAGGATGGGCAGTCTCTTCCTGTTCCGTTAACTGCCTCTGACAACCTGCTGGAGGATCAACTATGGGTTGGTTCTGACTTGAGGGTACACAACAACTCCGTGGTAAAGAGCTGCAATCCCAAAGGCATGCAGCTCAACTCCACCACCAGCTCCATGGGAGAAAGATGGACAATCTCCTCTTGTGCAATTAATCGCTGAAAACCTGCTGGAGGGCCAACGATGGGTCAGCTTTGGCTTGATGGGACATAACAGTAACAACAAAGAGCAGGATTTTCTGTTTTGTTTTGTTCCATCACTGGTATGTTCTGGGGCCTAGAGTGGTGCCTGGCACTTAGTAGGTGTTCAATAATATTTTTTTTAAAAAATAAACCAATGGGCAAATGTGTTTCATAGGGGATTTTCCACGGCTTTTGTGGGCTTTTCAAAGGGATGCTGAGACCCTCAGTTAAGGCTTTTCTCTAAGACCCTTTCAGCTCCTCCAACTTGAATTTGTGAACTTGCTTTGAAAGCTAAAAGTGTAGAATTGCTTCTGTCAGCTGGGTCCCATCTCTGCTGGTGCCATGCCCAGCTGGTCCACCTTAGAAACATGGCCTGTCACATGGAGGGCAGCCAGATGCCAGGCTCGGCTGGGGATGGACAGGGGTGATATCTCCCTGAGAATCCCCCAAACCTGCCCCTGCTTCATGCCTGTCTTGGAAAGGTCATGCAGTAATGTGCCTGGGCTCTGCCTCTGCCCACAGCCTGTGCCATTTCTTCTCTGGAAATTTTCAAGTCAAAATGTCATTCCTGTCATCATGGCTCAGCATTTTTCTCTTCTCTGCTCCTTTCACACACCCACTAGGGTATGGAGATGAACACGCGCGCGCGCACACACACACACACACACACACACACACACACACCCTTGAGTTGGTCATGACAGATTTAGGATGGGGCAAAGCAGAGATCTCTGCTGCCTGTGGAAAGGGCGGGCAGGGCAGGGGAGAGCAGGCTGGCAGAGAGGGAGTGAGGAGCAGGGCTGAGTTGTGAAGGGAGGATCACACTGTGTAGAAAATGTAACTGGGCTCCAAGGTCCTCCCACCTGGGACAGTCACACAGACCTTCCAAAGGTCTCCCCAGTCGCCCCAGCTCCTCAGGACCTCTGCCTTCTCTCTTTCCCCTCCTGTGGAGTCAGACTGCTCACTCAGGTCTTCTGTCCTATTAGCTGGTTTCCTTCCTATTTATTCCTGCTTCAGTCAGCTTTCAGCTCCACGCCCTTCAGCCCCAAGGCCACATGGCAGGCCTCTCCCTCCCCTTGACTCCTGGCTGCACTTTCCTGTGGGAAACCAGCCCTCAGTGTCCCCATATAGTCTCTGCCCATTATTTAACCACTCAGCCCCTGCCCCCTACTCGTGTGGGTGTGGGTGGGTGTTACCTAGTGGACTCAGACTGATATGGGATTCGGTCCCAGCACCACAACAAACTAGCTGTGCTTAGCTAGCTCGGGTTAGTGAATTTCACTCTCTGAGCATTCCCCTCATTTGAAGAATGGAGACAAAAATAATAACTTGTGCTGTCAGACTCCATTCTAATGACAAGTATTAACTCATTTCATCCCAGAAGCAACCCTATGGTAAAGGTACCAAGATTACCCACCCTGTACCTACAAGGAAACTGAAGCCCTATTTCTAGTACTTTAACAACCACATGCAGCCAGTGGGAGAGAGAGCTCTTCGATCACTCCAGAGAGTTCTTGTGGGTGAGAGGTCTGTCTAAAGATTTGTTGTTGTTGTTCTGTGTGGTCAAGTAGATTCTGCCTCACAGGAGCTCCATGGGACACAGAGAAACTGCCCCGTCAGATCTCCTCGGCTGTAAACTTTACAGGAGCACATTACCAGGCCTGTCCCTTACAAGAGCTGCTGGGTGGGTTCAAACCGCTAACCTTCTTGATAGCAGCTGAACACTCTGCCATGGCTGAAATTACATAGCTAATATACCTGGCAGCACCTGGCCAGGGCCCGTGGGTTTTTTCCATCACTATTTTCAAATTATCAGGCAAATTATTAAGATGAAATAAAGCAGATAAAGATAAGATTAAGACAAAGCAGAGACAGCACCAGGTACCTGGCTAGTGTGACAGTTCATTCTGAGGGAATCTCCCCAAAATGTCCACTCTCCTCTCCTCTCCTCACACCCCCAGTGACCACTCTGCCCAGCCCCTGACCTGGGCACCTGCTGGTCTGACTCCACAGTGCCCACTGAGGGACACTCATTGGCTAGCTCCCAGTGGGTTTCTTCAGCTGTCTTTGGTTACATCTGGTTGAACCCATTGTCATCCTATCAGTGTCAACTAGCAATTCTGCCAGCCAGCACAGAATTGCCCCACAGGGCTGTAGGGAGCTCCAGCAGCCTAGTGGTAAGGACTTGCAATGCCAACCCAGATGCAGGTAGTTCGAATTCACCAGCTCTCTAAAGAGGAAAGCTGAGTAATCTCCCCCTGTGCTATTTCAGCCTCTGAGAACCCATGAGAGGGCCAGCTATGAATTGGTTCTGACTCCACAGCACATAATTCAACATAGGGCTTTACATGAGGAGACGCGTGCATCTTTCACCTACTGGATGGCAGAGGAGTTGAACTGACAACCTTTGGGTAGCAGCTTAATGCTTATCCCACAGTGACCATCAATAACCACCATATGAGACCAGTTGTCATTTTCAGCAAGTTCCTTGGGGTCTACAACTGGAGAGGGGCTGCAACTTTTCAGTCCACCATCCTAGTCCAGATCTCCAACTCTGGAGGCCAGTGGAGGTCTCCCGCTGTCCTACTCCTGCCCTCTCCTCCTCACACCCCCTCCACCCCTGTATTTCCACAGCACAGCACTCCCTGCTCGACACCTCCCACCTGTTCACCGTCAGGCACGTCAGTCACGAGTCTCTCTCTACCCCACCCCCTCTCATCCATCCTACACACTGAGCTGCTAGAACAATCATTTGCAAACACAGTTTGAAACGTATCCCTTCTTGCTCTGAAATGGCCTTCCCTCTTCCAGGTCAGCTCGGCTGTCACCCCTGAAACAAGCCTGGCCAGTTCCAGCCCTGGGGATGCTTCCGTGGGCACCCAGAACAAGATGAGAGGTAGGGGGGAGCTTTCCTTTCTCCTTCAAGTCAAGTCAACAAGAATTATTTAAAGAAATTCCACTGAGAGGCCTTTGGTGAGACAAAGAAATCCTTTTGTTATGCAAATAAGCGTACCTAATTTCCCTGTTTTGTGAGTTCAGGTGGAAAAAGAAAAATCAGCTTTCTCTTGATGTGCTGCTCCCCCTGCACCCCTAAGATACACAACAGCATGCTCACACCCAGAATTTCGGAATCCACAAGGACCTGGCAAAGGCCATGCTGCCCTCCGTTCCGGGCACACCTATTTTGCACACACTTCCCCTCCAGCCTGATGTGTTCATCCCTGCTTCTCCCACCCTGTGGAGTCATTGTCTTCCTCTCCTGCAAGACCTGCTTCCCAGTCCCCCTTCTCCAGCAGCGGCTCCCTAATTAACCTCCCTGGCCCCATCACTTCCTTGCTCTGCAGCAACCCAGGGCATACGCATACGCTCACAGCCTCCAGAACCACATTGCTTAAAGAGACCATGGGGGCAATAGAGTCTGCAGGTTCACTTTCCAGATGAGAAAACAGACTGTGTGAGGAAGGGGCGGGAGTGCGGGAGTTGGTCAGGTCACGCATGGCAGGTGGGTGGAGAGGGCCTGGGTCTCCTGACTCAAAACCCAGAATCTGTCCTGCTGTGTATATCACTGACCTATATTTGCTACCGTTCAGGGCATGTTTTCACCACGTTGTGGGTGGTTTCTAGATTAGAAGGAGATAGGAGGACACAGGGCTTCAAAGGCATCATGAATTTTGAATGAAGCCTACAGCTCTATTAGGGCCAACAGGGGTAGCAGCAGGGGCTTTGGTTTGCCGTGTAGAGCATACGGAGTGGGGGCGGTGTGGGGTGTTCACAGGAAAGCCGGCTCAGAGACCCTGGGAGGAAGGGGGAAATGAGGAAACTATCAGAGGGGACTGGGGAAACCTGGGCCCTTTATTGCCAGCCTGGTTTTGACTCTTATTCTGCATACCTGACATTCATCACTTTTGAGACTCTCCTGGGCATCAGAAAGGCATTACAGGCACAGCGACTGTCCCACTCACCCACCCCCATCATCCATGTGGTTGGAAAACTATCTAGGAGCCCCTGCTTCTATCCACCCTGAGGCCTTGCCCTCCCTAGAAGCAGAGACAACAAGTGGGTACCAAAAAGGAAAGGTTCCCTCATCACAGGTGGGGGAGAAAGCACACTTTGTAGTGTGGCCAGAGAACTCACGTTCCATCCTCGTTGCTTCTGTAAAACACCAAGAAAGGGTCTGATTTCCCAAAGAAATCTTTCTTGTCCAGCTTGTTGGCACAGAACTGCATTGTGGCCACATCCTGGAGAAGTAAATGGACAGGAGGTATGGGAAGGGTGGAATAGACTCAGATCCCTGTTGAAAAAGCCCCAGACCCTGGAAACATGAAGATTTAAAAGGGCACCCTTTTTATCCTTCCCCAGCACCTACAAAGTACTTCACACCAGCTCACGGGCCCCTTCAGGAGAAAAGCCAGGGGATGATGCAGTGGTTTCTGGAGGGAACTGCCCCACTGTGAAGCCTGGCTGTACTTTCCAGCTGTGTGACTTTGGACAAGGTAGCTAATCTCTTGGAGGCTCCATTTCCTCTTTTGTAACATGGGGCTGATGTCTCATTGGGCCGTTAAGAGAATTAAATGAGACCAAAACCGGAAAATGACTAGCAGAATACTGGCTCATAGCAAACCCCTCAAGACATGCTAACACACATTCTTCCGTAACAATTTCACTCAGTGGCTCATCAGAACCGAACCATAGCAGACCCTCCAGTGGGTTTTCTGAGGCAGTCAAATGCATGGGAGGAGACTGCCTATCTTTCCCCCACAGAGCAGCTGGGGGATTTGAACCACATGCCTTTGGGTTGGCAGTGTGACTTACTACCACTAGACTACCAGAGTTCCCTAATGGATTAAAAAAATTACTCATTTAAGGGGTGGGGGAGCAGAGAGGTGAGGATGGGCGGGGGGTTGGGGAGGTGGTTAATCACAGAGTTGCACAATTTGATGGGTCAGTGAGAGGTAGGTAATGGAAAGGGGAAAGATCTGGTGTGAAAAACAATGTGTATGGACTTTGTAATTAAGCCAGTATAAAAGAAAAATTTTATTTTCAATTAAAAAAAAGAAATTACTAACTGAAGGCCCCCAAGCTTGGGTCCATTAACTCCAAAACCTTTGTTACGTGCACATCACTCATTCCCCCAGACTTTGTGTGGTTCCTAGGGAACATTCTAGTTTAAGCACCCCTTTCACGTCCACTAACTCATGAGAGGTGTCACAATGTAGATGAGGATCATGGCCCATTTTACAGCTGAGAAGCCTCAGACTCAGAATGGAGAGTGACTCCCCCAAGTTCACCAAGCAGGGCTCATGTCAGAGTCTGGGGCCTCTCACACCCCAGACCTGGTGGTGGTTCACTGCTCCCGTCTCCCCAGGCCTTAGTGAGGACCACCAGACCCTTCCTCTCACGTGATCACAACCCCTCAGCTCAATGAGGCCCACAAGGTACTGGACAGAGCCATCCAACATCCCCCTCTCTACTCAACTCCTTGTCGTGGCTTCCACCGGAAGGCTCTACATGTGGATTATTATGGCTTAAATAGTGTCCTCCCAAGATAGGTGTTGGAATCCTAACGCCTAGAACTGCAGATGTCATCCTGGTTGGAAATAGGGTTTTCTTTGTTATGTTAATTAGATCCTAACTGAATAGGGTGGGTGCTAAATCTAATCACTTCAAAGTTATAAAAAGAGCAGATTAGACACAGCAACACAAACCCACAGGAGAAGACAGATGCAGAGTGAGGATCTCTGAGTAAGCAGGAAGTGCCCGGGGCTACTGCCAAGGAAAGGATGTGGTAGAGACCTGATACCTATGTTTAGCCCCAGAACCATGAGAAAAAATCTGTCCTTTAAAGCCATTCGCTTCAAAGGGAGTATCCCTCTTACACTAGGAAAATAAGCCACCCACCCACCCACAGCCAGCAAAAAAACAAAACAAAAATGATTCAGCCTCACAGCGACCCCATCAGGTTTCTAAGGCAATAAGTAAGTCCTTATGGGAGGGAACCACCCATCTTTCTCCCTAAGACTGCTTAGGGGTTCAAACTACTGACCTTTTTGTCAACTGTGTGACGTGTAACACACTACACCACCAGAACGTCTTACTGGAAAATTATTCAGCTTCATAAAGGCCAGAGCTGGGAGCTCTTGAGGACCAGTGTCTGTCAGAAGTCACCTCTTCCCGTCAGGTTCTCACACACCTTTTTTGTCTCCTCAGTGGACAGTCTCAGTCTCTTGAGGTTAGTAACCCAAAGCCCAAAGAGGACCAAAAAGAGTGGCAGAGATGGACAGACACAGCCAAAAAAGTTGGGGGTCTGACTGGCCTCCCATGGTTAAGTGGTTAGAAATATAGTCACTAGAGCCAGGCTGCCTGCTCACTAGCCAAGACAACTTACTCTCTATGCCTTGGTTTCTTCATCTGTAAAATGGGACAATTAGGGGAGCTCTGGTGGCCTAGTGGCAAGAAGCTGCAACTACAATCCCAGAGGTACACGGTTCAAATCCACCAGATGCTCTGCCGGGGAAGGAGGGGCAATCTCCTCCTCTACCAGTCGGATCTGATTTGATGGTACACGCACACGCACACAAAAATAATAAAATAAAAAAATTTAAAAAAAAATGGGACAATCGCAGAGTTTACCTCATAGGTTTGCTGTGAGGATAAAATGTTCTATTACAGTGCTGAGAACAGTGCGTGGCACACTGCCAGCCATTATTATTTTGATGCCTTTCTCCCACCCTCACCTCATATGCTTTCCTTCGGGGGCCCTGACAGCAGCACAGCCCCCCTCTCCATTCACTCACCTATTCACCCACCAAACACTAGGTGTCATCTGTGGGGAGCAGACACGGAGCTCGACACTCTACATCCTTAACGATATTTGGCCCTGAAAATACTCCTTTGTGGCTTTTTTTTTTTTTGCAAATGAGGATGGTAAGTTAGAGAAGTCAGGGAAGAGAAGCTGAAGTCAGAGAAGTTGGGGAATCTGTCCAGGATGACCAGCTGGTAATGAGAGTGGAAATGCAAACTTGTATAAACTGATTTGAAAGCTGTGTTTCTTTCTGCACAGCACCCTGCCTCCCTGAGAGAGACTGAATTACATTTCTTAAGGCTGGTTTCTTTGTTTTCTTTAGAATCTGGTGATTTCTTTCCACTGTGGGCACCTCTCAGAAGGGAGGGCTGGTTTCTAGTTAACCTGGAATGGCAATATCTACTTAACAAGAGGCTGTGAGGGCTGGAGTGCCGAGGGCAGAGTGACCAGCATACTGAGGCTCCAGGGTGATGAATGCTTTTTATTATCTCTCTCTTCACGGTTGATCTTTGAGGGAAAAGAGGGCTGCTGGAGTGAGGATTTACAAGGTCTCAGGAGCCCATGAATCGTAGAGCCTTCAAAGCAATCGAAGACGTTAATTGAAAGTGGTTAGCTTACTGTATGCCTCCTGGGTGCCAGGCACCACGTTGAACCTTCTATCGGTTAGGTCCCATTGAGACAACTTTGACTCATAGCGACCGTTATGAATAACAGATCTGAACCTTGCCCCATGATCCATCCTCATGATCTTCAAGGCCACTGTTGCTGCCATGATCCTCTCCCAGTACAAGGTCTTTTTCCAAAGACTGGCCCCTCCTGACACTATGCCCGTGCACATGAGATGAAGTTCACCACCCGTGCCCCTGAAGAGTACTCTGGCTGCAGTTCATCGAAGAAAGGCTTGTTTGCTCTGTTGGAAGTCCGTGGGATAGTCAAGGCTCTCCACCAACACCACCACTCAAAGGCTCAACTCTCCTTCAATCTTCCTTATCCAGTGTCCAACATTCAGAGTCATCTCTGTGCATATAAACTATGCCACTGGCTCCTCAAAATCACCCAATGAAGCATATTCTTTAATCTCCCCAGTTTACAGATGAGGAAATTGAGACTTTGAGAGGTAGAGTTGCCCAAAGTAACACAAAGAGTAACCCAGACAGACAGACTCCAAGCTTTTGGTCTTACTTCACCAATAAGATGTCTACCATTTAAAAAGTCCATCCAATGACCTGGGATGGGCAGGTACAATCTTCTTTTCTGGAGAAGCTCTAAGTTCATCTCAAACTGGCTGGCGGGAGTATTTCCTGGGGAGCCCCATATCTTGGCCTTAAGAAGGGTGGATACTTCCTAGCTACGTAATCTATAAGACTTAACTGCAAAGTGACATACACCTTTTCCAGTTTAAACCATGCAACATTCCCTTTTTCTGTCCCAACAACAGCCTCTTTGTGTAGGTAGAAGTTTCCCATGAGACAATGAGGTGTTTGGGGAGTTCCATTCTTCTCAATGGTATCTTTCAGCCAAGACCATATGACAACCATCCTTTGCATCCATGCCTCTTCTAAATCAAGCCTGAATTTCTGTCAGTTTCCTGCTGATGTGCTGTTCCAGCTGTTTTTAATAATCCTTAGCAAGATTTTGCTTGCATGTGAGGTATTAAAGTACATAAGGGTTGTATCCTTTCTCCATATCTACTCAATGTGTATTCTGAGCAAATCATTCAAGAAACAGGACTGTATGAGGAAGAATACAGCATAAAGAATGAAGGCTCATCAATCACCAGTTATGCAGATGATATAACCTTGCTTGCTGAAAATGAAGAAGACCCAAAGCACTTACTGCAGAAGATCAAAGACTACAGCTTTCAATGGGTTATATCTCAACAACAAGGGAATGAAAATCCTCACCACTGGGCCAACAGGTACATCATGACAGATGGAGAAAGGATTGAAGTTGTCAATAATTTCATTTACTTGTACTCATCAAGAACACCTATGAGAGCAGCAGTCAAGAAATCAAAAGATATGCTGCACTGGGGAAATCTGCTGTTACAGACTTCGCCAGAATTCTAAAGAGCAAGGATATCAGTTTAAAGACTAAGGTGTGCCTGACCCAAGCTATAGTCTTTTCAAGTGCTTCCTATGCAAGTTGGACAATGAATAAAGAAGATTCAATATCTCTGAATTGTGATGCTAGTAAAGAGCATGTAATATTCCACTGGGAGCCAACAGAACTGACAAATCTGTCTTGAAGGAGGTGCAATCGGAGCGCTCCTTTGAGGTAAGGATGGTGAAACTTCGTCTCACTTATTTGGGGCATATTCTCAGGAGGAATCAATTCTTGGAGAAAGAGAACATGCTGGGAAAGGCAGAGACTCAGAGAAAGAAAGGAAGCCCCTAAACAAGGTGGACTGACCGGGTGGTGACATCAACGGGCTTG